AAAACAAAAACAATTACAAAAAACCAACAACCCAAAAACACACTGCACTGCACTTAAAAGTTTAACTGTAAAATTCCCTCGGTAATCGGCAATTTGTATATAAATTTGATTTGTCTGCGTTTGGGCTCACCGTAGAGTCGGATGGAGCCCTCCGTCTCGCCCAGCGAGTTCTTGGAGATGCACTTGTAGCTGCCGAAGTCCTTGGCACGGAGATCGCGCACCGTCAGCTGCATGTGCGAGCGGTACGAGTTCTCGGTGGTGACGGGCGAGTGCTTGCCCGTGGTCAGCACCATCTGGCCGTCGTACACCCAGTAGCTGATGGCGCGCGGGAACGCCTCCGTGTGGCAGTCCACCGTCACGTTGGTGCCCGCGGGCGCGCCCACCAGCTGGTTGGGCACCCAGATCATGGGCGGGACTGCAACATGAGAGGCATGACATATAGTGATCAAAAGATTAAAATGAAGAAAGACAAAAACAAACACGTATCAATAATCGATATTAAATAGTGAGGGTGGAGAGCATGCCGCGCGAGTCAGAGTCGCAAAGGTGAAGGGGGTGGGAGGCACTGATCTGTTTACCTCAATGGAGCACTGTAAAAAAAGAAATATTTTGTCGCACACCTTCCGGTGTGTGAACTTTTTTTCACTAACCTCCAGCGGTGGGCGACGTTCGTACCGGGTGATTCAGAAAAGACGCAGGGGTAGGCGGGTTTGCCTACCCGCTCTGCCTGTAAGGCACCATAGCCCCTTGGGTGAGGCAAACCCACCCGCACCTGCGTCTTCTCTGAATCACCCGGTACACATCGATTTTCAGTGTATGCTACGTCTTCACGCCGCCGCCCGTACACATTTCCCTGAAGGGGCGCGCGCGCTAAAAGTGCTGCGAGGTAACTCTACGCTACGGGAAGGTCGAACAAGTCAGACGGAGTGAGAGCGTGCCCGGTCTGAGGTGGGGGAGGTGGATAGTTTGTGTGTGTGTGGGTGGAGTGTGGGTGGGCATGCAGAGCGCCGTGCGATGTAGCTGTAGCAGTAGCACCGGGCCGCAGCCCCCGCGGCAGGTCACACAGTTCAGAGGCAAAAATCCGCTTTGCAAACGGAAAGAGCAAACAATATATGGCGGCCGGACAAAACTTGGCGGGGATATTGTCGATCTTGTAGAACTCGCCAATGTTT